AATAACTCTGCCCCCCAGTGGCACAGCGGTATGTCTGCGGACTTACAACGCTAGAATCCGGGTTTCGATACCCGTGGTGGGCAGAGTACAGATAGCCTATTGTGTAGTTTTGTGCTTAATTACAAAACAAACAAACAATGTCTGTCTCTCTATCGGCCTGGTATGGCCAGGTGGTTAGGGCGATCAACTCGCTATCTGAGGGTCGCGAGTTCGAATTTCCGTCCCCCCAAACATGCTCACCCTTGCAGCCATGGGGGTATTATAATGTTACGGTTAATCACACTATTCGTTTGTAAAAGAGTAGCCCAAGAGCTGGCGGTGGGTGGTTATGAATAGCTTCCTTCACTGTAGTCTTTCACTGCTAAATTAGGGACGGCGCGAAATTCAAACAAACTATCTGTCTACCAGACATTTTCTCGTAAATTTCTCGATCAAAGGCTACAAATTTTTTTCCGAGAAATCTGGATTGCACATTGTCTTGACAAAATCATAACGAATAATTTACGTTGAATTTCGTACTTCTTGGAGGGGGTGATGAATAAATTTAAGGGGATGTCTAGAGAGAAATTCTCACAGTAGGGGAAATTCAGGATTTTTGTTTTTAAATATTGTCTTATAAGATATAAATTTAAGAACCTGAAACTTATATACTATTAGAATATGGATTATTAACTACGTTTTTATGCTACTATCGGATACCGGTGTGCCTGAATAATCACATTCTCAAAAGAAATTATATCATGTATAAAACTATATGTATAATGTCTAACTTACTAGAGAAATAATACATAACTGTTCCTCTAAAATTTCTCAAAGACGAACAGTTTAAATTTAAAGATATTACCTAAAAAATGTAATGACAATGAGCTTTTTTTTTTAAATCCATACAAACTAAACGAGAAAGTAAGAAGAATAGAGAACAATTAAACTAGACACTGGCTTGGCTTCTCTATAAGCTGAATCTTCACCACTCAGCTGAACTCAATGGCCAGTGGAAGAGACCAATCATCCTGCAACAGAAACAATTTTTCTTTTTCTCCACTTCTCCTTTGAGTTGCTTATTTCGATTTTGCTCTAAAACCTCTTGACAAACACCTTATATTTTGGAGACTTACCACGTTGGTAGTGTACATGTAGCTACATCCAGTAATGTTTCATCTGACGATTGTGCATCTTAACAATAGCCCTGCAACGTAGTTTTCGTTACAAAATGATGTATATAATCCATTTATTAAATGAGAAGGACGGTATTCTAGTTCCCGTATCAACAGTTCTATTGGAGAAAACTCTACAGTTGCTGCATCCGGCGACTTGACTGTTATGTCTTTGTATGGAATAGCATAAATGCCCTTTTCATTTTCCACCTTCTTGAGGTATGCGATGGTTGAACAAATTCGTGTATTAAGTAAAATTAAGCTTGGAATTTGGATATTTTTCATAATCTTCTAAACGATGAAATAGATACTTTCCTTCCTCATTTACCATAAAACATATTTAGAAATTGAATAGGGACCGAAAGACCGCATTTTTGGAGTACTAGATGATGTTGCTTCAAAGAATATTGTTGCGTCATCGAGATCACGTGACTATTCTTACGCCCTCTACTTTCTAGAACTATCCTGTACTTTGGCGAATGCTCTAGCATTTACTAGATATAGGGTAGTCTGGTATATAAAAGAGGGTGACAACGTGACGCAATAATGTAATGTGTGTAGACAGTGTGTAATTGATCTGCAGTCAGAGAGAGAGACGTATTGTTGTTATAGCGTTTGTTTTAGCGCGACTGTTGAAAATAAGTGTGTCGTAAAGTTGTATTCGGAAAGAATAAACCAGTTTTATTAAGTAAGGACTTGTGTCGCTAAAGTTTCGTCGGAACGAAGTTACGGAAAATCAATTAACAAACGGAGACGTAACAATATGTTATAAAGTCATCTTCGAAGAGAATGCACAGTTGTACATACACAATGGTAACTAATTATTTATCTCTCTCTCTCTCACACACACACACACACCTAAAAATGACGATTATTTAGTTAAATGTGAATAATTATTTGTATTGAAACTGATACTTTAGAATTCAAGACAGAAACTGTTGTAAATCCATGTTGTGTTGTACAATAGGCCTAGAACATATTTGTGACCAACGCTGTTAAAATTCTTAGTTTGTTAAGAATTTAATAGTATATATTTCTTTAAGTAATTTCAATACCCATGGTGGGCAGAGCACAGATGGCCCTTTGTGTAGCTTTGTGCTTAATAACAAACAACAAAAAGAACAATATTAAAACAGTAGTTTTAAATATAAAAATTATTACATAGATCTACTCAACTAAATAAACAATAACGTAGAAACTTGCTCACTTCTCCATCTAAAACCAAATGCCCTTATAAATTCGCTAAATTATTTGGTTGTTGATTATAAGTGTAAGTTTCGAATAAAGAAATACAGTTTAAAATACTATCGCAAACGAATGGTGTAAATAATTTTTAGTCATTTCTTGTGACATTCACATCTTGTGGCACTGATTTCTTTCTTTATAAAGTGTTATTTCAATTATAAAATAATAATAATAATGGAGATGGCAGTAAAGTCTCTTTGTCTTGTCCATGGTTCTAGATTTTCGAACCCCGTGCTCTTTCTCTCTCTTACTTTAAGTACACGTTGAAAAGGTAGGATTGTTTTTAAGATTGTGTTAGTGTAGATCTTTTATTTATGTTTACGAAAAGAAATTCTCTGTTATGTCTTTTTTTGTTTAGAATATATATTTTTTAAGCATTTAAGTTAATAATACACAATACTTAACAGTAACATAGCTGATCCTTAAATTTATGCAGCAAAAGTAAACCAATAAAAATCATTTTTCTGTGAACTAATAAACATTAGTTAAGCCTAACACTTCAACCTCGGGCATAGTGAATACAGAATATCTAACTATATCACGCTTTGTTTCATTGTTACTTTTAAGTTGGATTTATTAATTTAGATTTCACTTTCAGAGTTGTACAGCCTGTTTGATTTTAATAAAATTACAATTGTGCAATTTTAAATATCGGGGTTTGACCATGCTAGTTTCAAAAACTTGCATAAATATGAAAATAATAAAACCAGTGTGATGAGCTTATGGTGAAAGTGTATATCTACACATTAATCATGTATGTTTACATTTAATTTTAAATATATTAACAAAAGATGACTAACTTCACTGTACTATCATTGTCAGTAATGAGATTCGTGTGTTTTCAATAATGCCATTATCATCTTAGGTAGTCTTGGTCAAAAAAGTGCTTAGCTGATTCCAAGCATCTCATTTTAGGCAATGATTGTGCTGATTTGATATTCCAATCATCCACTGAATAAAAACCAGAATATGGGTTGTTTGCATTGAAAACAGGCACACTCAAAGCTAACCCTGTTAGTAGGACTTGTATTTTAGCTCTGTACATGTGTACTCTGATTTTTGCAACAACTCATTTTGAAGGATATGTCCTTTGATATTTCAAGAAATTTTAAAATAGATTCAATAAAGTATATTGTCAATAACAATATATTGGTGGTATTGTCCAGGGTCACTGATGAGGAGTGGAATTCTCTGAAACTTGTCTGGCTAACAGACACACCCCCAATGAAAGAATAGATCATTCCAAGCTTTTACTTGTTAAACAAATGTTTAAACAACTCTATTTATTCAATTATGTACAAGCTGCCAGTTTCAGCTTACAATATGAAAAATTAAATTGTGGCAGAATGTTACAAGCTCTTCAAATACTTATAGAATGATAGGTTTCTTTTTTTTTTAGTGTAAAAACACTTAAATACACCAGTTCGATTATGCACCTATGTTTGCTTTACTGTTTCAATGAAAGTAAAGGTCTAAAACGCATTAGTGCCAATATTTAATATTGAGGTTTATCTGACATGCGACTCTTGCATAACAGACATCTTTAAATAACATAAAACAACCTGTGCCCAGTGTGTGTGGGAAGAGTGACATTTCTACACTGTTAGTGAGCAGTACAAAACATAGAATTCCCTTGTACATTATTAGTGGGTGCCAAACTATAAAATGTGCTACTTTATAATACAGAGAATGCAATGCCTTCCAACTGATTTGCTATTGCCTTATCGATTATGCTTAACTACCTTTTTACTTTTAAAATAGTTTCTTCAAATGTTATCTTGTTTACCATAAAACAGAAATGGTATTCTGTATTCCCAATTTATGATCAGCTTCATACTTCATTTCACAAGTCATTTGAGGTAGATTTTTTAACATCTTTTGTGCACTTTCATCACTAATAAGTCAAAATAAGATGTAATAACATTTGGCATACTAAATAGTATTACTAATACTGTTAATGATAAATAAGTTAGTATACCTTACTCAGAGAACACAAAAACTAGCTTTTGGCTTGAACTACTTCATAGAAGTAAATTTGTAAAATTTAACTTTAGTATTTTTCAATTTTCCACAGCATGTCTTTTGACCAAAGAAAGTTCATTAAGCCACTTGTACTGAGGCAAATAGCACCTGTGACCATTTAAGACAATCATGTTACTGTTCAAACTGTGTCAGATTGTTTCACCGTAATTTTCCCATAGTACAACTGATGTTTATTAATACCACAGATTTTTGAGATGGTGCCATACACCTCTAATATAATTATGGATTGTTACCTTGCATAGTTCAGAACACAGTGTAATCTGCTATAGAAAGAAAATATAGCTTTGTAGCCCGGGAAGCTGTTAGTAATATATTTGTTTACACTGAACATAAATTATGATGAACTTTACCATTAGTATGTGATATGTAAATAATTTAATGCATGGTACCACAGATATCTCAAATTCTATATTTAATTTTCAATAATGTAAAAAAAAAAATCTATACAACTTGTATTACTATTTTTTTTCAGATGCCTTCAATCAGTGTGAAGGATGTTGACCAGCATGATTTTGTGCAAGCTTTTGCTGCTTTCTTGAAAAAGTAATTCCAGACTTTCTAAATATTGTTTCATTTTATAAATTGGATAACTGGTTGACTGTATTAGTTAACTTTGAATATCAAAGATTGTATGAATTCATAAAAAAAAGTTAATTTCCAATTCTTCAGAAGTTTTGCTATTTTTAGCAAATGTTATAATTTTTATCGGTGTTTCTATCAACTGTTTAAAATATTCAATGAAAAGTAACTTGTACCTAACATGAAATATAGGAATGAGCCCATGAATTGCTTATTTTTCTATCTCTTTATTGCTCTTTATATATATATATATATATATATATATATTGTTTTTTGTAGTTATCACGAGAAATACAAAACCAAACTCATAAAAATCTGTTGTGGATTTATTTTTTCCTGGAGATTATTTAATTTAAATTTTTTGTAGGTCTGGAAAACTTAGAATCCCAGATTGGGTTGATTTAGTCAAAACGGGGATCTATAAAGAACTGGCACCTTATGATGAAGACTGGTTCTATGTTAGATGTGGTATGTACATCTTTATTAAGAGATAGTGCTCCTTTTTTTGGTAATGCTCAACATTGTACATTGTCGCTTAGCAGCAAAATTATCATCTGATTGTCCTTAGGCCAACTATGGTGCTTAAGTTGAATACTGATCTTTCATGTTAATTTATTAGAAAAATTTGTTTTTCTATTCTTTATTTTTCTTATAACTTTGGTGATATAACAGCAAAATAGCTTAATTCAGAAGTTTTATAACTAAGTTGTAGCAAAGAGCAAAATAACATTTACCAAGTAGTGTTTCAGCTGAGCCTTACGTTATGTGTATGTATTAGGCCTAATGCTTAAATTAGACTTCAAATAGGCCTACTATTACCAATGTTACAGAGTCATGGTTTTAAAAAGTTTTTCCTAAAAATGTGGTGAATAAAGAATTACTTCAAAACTGAGGAAATAAGTTAAGAATAGGTGCATTTTAGAGGTACAGACAAATTTGTTTTAGATAAATTCTATAATTTTTTTGTTAATCATTCAGCAATGGTTTTTGATGGACTTTTATATTAGTCTGGTAGTAATAATATGGCCTAATTGCAAATTTTATTTGAAATTAAGGAGAAAGTCAAAACAATCAAGTATAATTTAGTTTGAGCCCTATGTGATCTGAAGTGATCTTGCCAATTTTTTTCTATTTTTCTATTCTTTATTTAACCCTTTCACTGAAGCAGAAGTGCTTATTCCCTCTACAATTTTGTTGTTGTTAGTGTTGCAGTTTTCAAAGTTACTAAAGCAGGATTATGATTTTTCTTTGGTGAACTATATTCATTCACTTTTTAGTTGCACTCCAAAGTTGCTTGCAAAGAATTTTTAGGCCTACTTTGGTTAGTTACATGATTTATTCATCTTTATATACATACAATAGGGAACACTGTACAGGCATTCAATATTCAAAACTAGTTTGGGATAGATCTTGGGTCTCCTCCAACATTAGCTGCTTTGATATTTGTGAGATAATAGAAAGGGAAACCTCTTGCTCAAGTGAAAGCATAATTTATCTTTATCTCTTTTCAAGTGTGTTATAGCTAAACAGTGAAATATTGCTGCAGGAGTAAAGCAGTGAATGTTGGAAAAGCCCCAGAATTTATTCCAAAACTATTGTGAAAGCACCTTCTCCTGCAGCAAAAGGGTTAAGATTCAGATTTGTAGTTAAAGTAAAATTTCTGATCATGGTACTAATTTGTATTAGTTATATGCTAACTACCTTGGCATTTTGATTCTTTTAAAATGTAAACATTGATTATAATTACTTTGAGGTCCTACTTATCACTCAAATATCTTTCTTTAGCCTCTGTAGCTCGCCATCTCTATCTTCGAGCACCTGTTGGGGTTGGGGCACTAACAAAAATTTATGGTGGCAGACATCGTAGAGGCACAGCTCCAGCTCATTTCTGCCGAGGTTCTTCTAGCATTGCCCGGAAAGCACTTCAGGCTCTAGAACAACTGAAGATGGTTGAAAAAGATGATAATGGGTGAGTAGTATGATATATTTAGTGCTGTAAAATCATGTATTTTGTGCATGTTGACAAATTATTCCTTTTTAACACAAAAAATCTACTAATAAAAATCCTAATTTTCATACTATCTATAATTCCATTTTTTATTTATTTAACACGTTTACAAACCAATAAACATCCATATCGCTCATTTAGGGGTCTTTGATTTTACTTGAGCAGCAATTCTATCCAAATCTCTCCTTCCCTGGCTTGTTAGACGACGACCCCTGAATATGAAGACATAACATAAATTAATCCTTTTTCTTTAAATCTCTAATACAAGAGCTGATTAAAACATCTCTAACAATGATACAGTAAAATTACAAGATAAAATAAGAGTCGATTTCGTAAGCAATTAAGTGCAGTTTCAGAGGGGAAAAATAAAAATTAAATATCAAAAAAACAATGCAACTTGAGATTTTGAACATTCTGTGCTTATGATTATGGCTTCAGTTATTTTTCATTATCTACTCGTAGACTATTGTAAAAAATTTAAATGTGTGGTGTCCTTCAGGAAATATACAGTTAAGCTATTACATTCAGATTTTGCAAAAACTTGTATAAATAACTATGTTGTGAAATGAAAGGTAGCAAAAGAGCAAGCATAAACTTCAGTAAAATAAATATTGGATAAAAATACAAAAAATGCTTATTCTACATATTAGTTTGATTGGAAAAAAAATCAGTATCTATTAAGGATAATGACCAATTATTAACACTGTTTGTAGTACTTCATTAACATTTTGTGGAATGAAAGGTTTAGATTTAAAATGCTACATTTCTAGAAGTGATAAAAATATATATATGTGGGGAACTCTTGTTGATTAGACTATCTTCAAATTTTAGTGTTTTTTAAAGGATTTTATCGTTTTTTATTGCCAGTTTTAGTCGCAACCAGGGTAGTTCAATAAGGAAGGTGTTAACTGTGTGTGCATGGGTGGGAATCAAAGAGTACATGCTATGACCTTTCACATAGTGACATTCAACATGGTATTAAGTATTTGGTGTTGGGATTATTATCGATTCATTTTACTGTGTGTTGCTGATCTAGCAATGGTTTGTGATAGAGGAGTGTAAATGTACAGGGAACTGTACTTTGGAGATTCTAAGTGTTATGGAAATACAGTATGTAAACTGTAAGGCGGACAAAAGTTTTTATCCTCATGAATGTCACCTTGCTCTTTTGGCTTCTAAGAGTCAGACTGTTGTTGCCAATTCATGTACATACAAATACTTTTGTAAAACATCCATTTTTGTATACAACATATTTGTTCACTTTATTAAAAGCTTGCCATATTTTGTGTAGATACACGTTATACATTGGAATTATAATCAACTTTCTTTTTCCATGTGCATTCAGTTAAAAAGAAGGAAAGCAGATTTTTCAAGCATAAATTAAAATGTCTGTGTCTTAAGGTATATTAAGTTATTTGGCACTCTGAAAATGTTGATTGACAATACAAGAATTTACTGGTGTATGTTGAAGCTGAGATTACACAGTCATATTCCACTGGCATGTAACTTGTATCAATAATTCTAACAAGGAAAGCATTACATCCAGGTTTCTTAAACTAGATTTAATATGATCATCAAATAATTCATTAGGCCAACACTTACCAGCAGATCTTGGAAGAAAAGAATGTTATCTAGTTCTGAACTTGAAACACATCAATTTTTTTTTGATGATTAGAATTAAATACTAATAGCTACTTATTCCTATGAGAACTTAAAGGAATAGCAGAAAAATTGTTTTACCACTATATATCATTGACAAGAAATAAATAGGTAACAGAAAATGCAAATTTTTTACTATAACCTTTTGCATATTTTAATGTAACATGCTTGTGATTGTTAGTGAAAATTGCTTCAAAAGTGAAAGGATATGCAACAAAGTAATTTACAATTTGTATTGTCCAATAGCCATTTTTAATCATTATCTAACAATGACATGGTATCCATTTTTCATAAACCAGTTTATAAAATATTTTAGTTCTGTAAATGTGGGCTATTAACCTCATTTTTATTTTTCCATCTTGTAAGAAGCTTTAAAACATTTGTTTATATTTATACAATAAATACATTTTTAACTGTAATCTATTGATTTGCATTGAGGCATGGTTGAAGTACTTTATAAAGACTATTTGATTCAAAGTGTTTCCTCATTTGAAATACATCCTATTATCCTGGTGTTGGATGCTTACTGGATTTTCATTTGCCCCAGTATGTAATTGGATAAAGGACTGGTTTTCTTTGCTGTAGTGTATTTTTTCAAATGTTGTTTTTCATTCAGCTACTAAATTATTTTCTTTTATTAACTTCATTTGATATTTATGAGGAACTGTTGGGACCATTAGTGCTTATGTCAGTATGTACAAATTATAAGATTCAAAAATTTAAGTATTCATAAATGTTAAACATTTAACTGATTTATGAGATACTTGTTAAACATAAGACAAATTTTGAGGAAATAAATGACCTTCATATTGGTTCATATTTTAGTATTTTTAAAAGATTTTAACTGTTTAAAGTACTGAACAGAAATTAAGTCTAAAATCTAACATGTTACTTCATTTACATTTATCCAGGTAATGAGATCCCCATCCCACCACACATGCTTGCCCTTTCATCCGTGGGGGCATTAAAATGTGACTGTCAATCCCAATATTTGTTGGTAACAAGAGTTGGCAGTGGGTGGTGATGACTAGCTGCCTTCTAGTTTTACACTGCTAAGTTAGGGACGGCTAGTGCAGATAGCCCTCGTATAGCTTTGTGCAAAAATTAAAAAAAAAACCAGGTAATGAGAAAAATATTTGAGAAATAAATCCTATTTATTTTCATTATTTAAAATGCAAAACTGAACATGTTTGAACCTTTAAAAAATTATATGCTTCTTTATTTTTAGTTATTTTAAATTTATTAAATGCAACTCTTAATTTTTGGAAATAACTGCAGACCATCAACATAATTTATGATTTTTTTGTGTGTCAAGCTAAAATTATCTTCTTTTTATTGTCTAAGTTACATAGGAAAAAAAAATTCCCTCTGAAACCTAAGACTTGCTTCACACACATTAGAATAGAGTAAGTTACTGAAGCCTTAGTACTGTTCATCGGCTGCAATGCACAATGCAGGAGCCATTCAACCTCCAATTTTCTAAGATGCTAAATAAGGTCCAAGAAAAACATCTATTTTATTACAGTAATATCATGAAACTTAGTAGTGATTTGTAAATTAAATTTTCCATCTTGGTGAAAAAACTGAAAGTTATGATAACAGCAAAGTTAAAACTTAAAGAATGCAAGTTTCATGAGATCACAGCCAAAATGTGTGACATACCACATGCAATACCCCTCTTCTGTTCACTAACTTAGACCTGATGTTAAGGTGGGAAATAATTCTGTCTAACACAACTCACAATCAGAGTAATTTCCTATTCAAAGTACAACAAAATAGTAATTATTCACAAAACAGTAAATACTTTTCATTCTGTCAATTGTATTAAAACAGTTTTCATTAATTATTTTCACAGCTAATCAATACCTAGGTAGGCTACAAAAATAATGGGGTAATCAATTAAGAGACTGGGAAATTCTATAATTGCCACTCATCTCATGTTTGTGACTTATGTTTTTCAAGCTTATAATGAGTATTCAAATATAAGAAACAAATTTGAACAACAGTATGTTTTTTGGTTTATTTTACTACTCACTGTATAATTCAAGAGACTGGGAAATTCTATAATTGCCACTCATCTCATGTTTGTGACTTATGTTTTTCAGGCTTATAATGAGTATTCAAATATAAGAAAAAAATTTGAACAACAGTATGTTTTTTGGTTTATTTTACTACTCACTGTATAATTCAAGAATTGTTACGTTTTAGTTGTATTCATTTTTTTTTAAGAATCACTTCATAGCTGATGAACACAGAAGTTTAGGTTTGAAATTATGTTGATTAGAAGTTTATTACAATCCTCTCAAAATAATCAAACAATAAAACTAATTTCTTATATATCAGACATAACATACATAAAAAATTGAAAGATGAAAAATAAGTTAAAACTATTGATAACAGAAGAGCTCCAGAGTATACAACTGACAATGCAAAAAATGAGTTTTTTTAAAATACATGAGATATTTGACAAATATATATATATTTGCATTTATTGTCACAAATTTATTAATATGTGAACTTAAAAATTAATAACTATTTACACATGATAACATGTTTCATATGTCCTATTGATCATGCTGTAATGAAATGAGAACAACTAATGCTTTCATTATATTTCCACAAAACATAGAATGGGTATATGCATATTTCCATGCATATACAATACTAATTTTGAAGTATATTTTTTTAAGTTACAGCTCACAAAAGAAAAACATGTACAAGAAGTAATATTAAAATTTCTGAAAAGGATTTTTTTTTTTTAGTCCTGAGGCTGCATACAACTGTTGGGGCACCTTAGATGCTGATACATTACCAGTGATTCTTGGGCAGATTTATCTGGTGGTGCCAGATAGCTGACCCTAATTTAGCAGTGAAAGACTAGAGGGAAGGCAACTAGTTAACACTTGGGTACTGACCAATCACATTATAATGCCCCCATGACTGAAAGGGAGAGCATATTCAGTGATGGGTATTCAAGTGCCCCAACCACCAGGCCATGCTTGGCCTGAAAAGGATTACTAATCTCAAATTATAATAGTTACAACCTTGAATCAAAGAAATGCAACTTAAAAAACATTTTTAAGATCCATTGATAGAAATTTTACTAACTTCAAACTTCTCTCTCACACTATCATTTTTTTTAGAATTATTAAAGAAATTAATTAATTAAAAATAATCTCAGATTATATGTGATGGTTTTCAAATGAGACCCAAAACTTTAGTGATTTCAAACAGTTCACTATTCTTCTTCAGGAGAATAAAGAAGTAGATCAACAGTTTCAAGGTTTAGTTTTTGTTTGTAAACCATTACAACTTTTGTATGTGATCCTGTGTGCTAATTTCTTAATCAGAATTCAGATTATATGTGTTAAGATGCATTGTATAGTGTGACTGGACATCCATCTGATATCACAAAATTAGGCGTAGACTATACTTTAAGTACATCAATACACATTTTACCATCTTAAATGAAAAGGTTGCAACCTGAAACAAAATACAAAATGGTATTTAAAGAAAAAAACAAAAATTTATATATTTAGACATATATCAAGTGTTGGTGGTATATGTGACCTCAATATTGGGTTTATGATCCACTTGCTTATATTTGTAAGTCCTTGAGTAGTGTGCAGGTGGTAAAGGATTGGAAAATGGATAATGTTACTTCTCTTTTTCCAGGGAGGTAATAACAATTCTCTGGGTATTCATATACACACACATATATATATATATATA